ATAAGGGTTGGAGAAAGGTATCCAAATAGCTCAATGTACTTTTTAATTGTTTTCATCATGCCACTTTCTAGTTACTGAGGGTATAGTGTAATAGTAGGTTTGGAGGGGTGGAAATAGGTCCAGAGAGATATTGCACAGCTAAATTTTGGCCAGGTTGCATTAAAATCATCCCAATACCCAGCACATATTCATATCTTTTAGTTTTCTTTTCCATAGTATATCCAGTAAATAAGTGAAACATCTGGTTTCATGATCTACCAAAAATTAAGTCATTTATTTCTCCCATTTTTTTTTTCAGTTTCAAACATTACTTCTGTTGAAATCTTTGTGTTGTCTTTGAAACCTATAAATGATTGCCACTTCCTTGTTACATAAGAGCAGCTCTTGTTTTTGTAAACTGGCCTTAAGTTTAATTTTATAGTTTAATTTCATACCTTCCCATCCCCCCCCCACACACACACATATAAACTGGCAACCTAAATTGTTAGGCAATCAACTACACTTTATGAAAAAAACTATGACAAAGGACATTTCTTTTTTTTTTTTTTCATAATTTGTTTCCATGAAAATGAGATAATTTCTTATGTATTTAAAGTAATATTACACGTATTTGAGTTCCATACAGTGGTATTAGTTAGGAATATGAAACAGATACAGAAACAGGATAATTCTCTTGGAATTATCTCTGCAGAAGAATTAAAATCACCTTTCAAAGATTTGGGTTATTTGATTAAAATATTAGTAATTTTTATTGAAAATATTTGCCTATGTTGTTCCCTACAGGTTTTTCCCAAACAGAAGTAATTAAATATGTATCTTAATTAAAAATAACTTATAGTTGTTTGTTTTTTCAGAAATAAAAACAAAGTTGGAGGAGGAATCTCATGTCTTATTTTATTTGGCTGCTAGAATGAACTGGAGTTGTAGAATGCCTTTCCATCTATTTGAATGTTATGTGTTTAAAAATGATTCTTTCATCTGCGTTTTTCTTCTTTCTTTTTTGCAGTTACTATTCTGGAATAAAAAGAAAGGTTCGAAATAGGAGTTTACAATTTTATTCCTATGTGTGGTTTCATTTTAGACATTTTAAAACTACTTTGTAAGCCCTGAAAAACAGTATATTTTCCAGAAATTCTTTGCTAAATCATAATAAATTTGCAGTGTTTCTGCAGGGGCAAACTTCAGCTCAGCATGTACCTGCTGCAGATTAAGTACTTTATGCAAACGCTTCCACATATACTTGCTAAGCTTTCATAATGTTTGAGAAACCAGTAGTATGGAGATTACAAGCAAACATTTTAGTAGTTCTAATACTTACTTATAGTTAGACATTTGGCTCTTAAAATATTTAGATGAAAATATAAATTGCGTGGCCAGCAGAATGCATTATTTTAAAATTGTGTACTGTTTAACTACTTTGTCTTTAAATTGTGTACTATTTAACTACTTTCTCTTTCCCCTTTTCTCTCTCTCTCTCTCTGGTAAAAAGGTTAACCTCTACTAGTGATGCCCAAACCCCGTAAAAATTATAAAGTGGGAAATATTGGGTTATAGGATCCTTATATCTTTTCTCTCTTTTAATTATAATTCCACTCTGTTCTTCTTCGGTTTTTCAGCATTTTTGCCTTGGGTATTAGTATTCTTTTTTTTTTTTCTTTTTTCTTTTGAGACAATCTTACTCTGTGGCCGAGGCTGGAGTGCAGTGGTATGATAATCAGCTCACTGCCACCTCGGCCTCCCAGGTTCAAGTGCTTCTCCCACCTCAGCCTCCTGAGTAGCTGGGATTACAGGCGCGAGCCACCACACCTGGCTTATTTTTGTATTTTTAGTAGAGGCTGGATTTCACCATGTTGGCCAGGCTGGTCTCGAACTCTGGACCTCAGGTAATCTGCCTGCCTTGGCAGGCATTAAGCATTCTGACTCCAATTTTACCAACCCTCTCTTCATGCTTTCTTGAGGAAATTTCCACACCTTTTTATTCTCTCTGATCTTTCTCTGCACCATCTCCATTATTTTGCTTTTCCATTTGCTAGAACACTTCTCTGAAATAATTTCATGAAGAAATCTGCTTACAATGTTTTAAAATGTCATCCTGAATAACATATTAATTATACCATTATGACATACAATGAAATACTCTGCATAATAAACTGGAGTTTTAGTAGGCTTAACCATTGAAAATATTGTGATTACTGTGTTCCCCAAATTAATTAAAAATATAATTTTATTTTTTGAAATAATACAGAACTTATATGCATGCTTAAATTAAAATTATTTCTCTGGAATGTTCCAATTGACATTTAGGTACATTAATTTTCTGGGTTGAATTTTTGGGTTAGTTGGTTGTTCACAGGCTTGGCTGCTGTACTAAATTAGCTTGGCTTGCTCCTGACCCAATGCTAAGCAGGATTGCAACAATCCTGTGAAGTAAGATTAACAGCCTTAGATTACAGATGCAGAAACTGCATTGCAAAACAATTAACTTTCCTTGTTTTCCCACTTAATAAGTGGCAGCACCATAATAAGATTCAACCTGAGCCTTCATGGCTCGTGATTTTAAGCTTTTCATATGCTTAATGATCACTTAACAGGCTCCTGGTGTGTTAATTTAAAGGCTAACAGTTTATCCTTAGGTTCTGACTTGCATTGGACACTATTTATACTCACCTGACTGGCTGGCTCCAATACAATCTTCTAGTTCTACTGGCCTTGCTTGCTCTACCTGTACCCTGAACGCTCTCCAAACCAAGCCCCTGCCTTTGCTGGACTGTATCTACACTTATGCTCTCCCTTTGGCCTAAAATGGAGCTTACACTAACAATCTATTGTATAAAATTACGTGCAGAAGAAAAAATTATATACCGATGGGTCTGGAGAAAGTGGTTTCAGCTGGCAATATGAGGGGTCTAACTTTGCCTCATACAATCTTGTCATCAGTCCTTCGTTTTTAAGCTCTAAACTTCATACTTCATTCTGAACCTTCAGAAGAACCCAGCACCTCCAAAACTTGCAACATTCCCGATTCTTAAGGAGAAAATCCATTTTTTTCCTCCACAAGCTCGTCCTCCCACTTTTAAGTCATATTCCACTGATTTTCTTCTTTCTATTCTTTCATTCGGTTTCTTCTCTTCTCCTGTTTTCTTTATCCTTGCTGGTTTTTACCACCACCACAGTCCTCTTTGACTCTCTTTCAGTGGAGTTTCTTTAAGGAGAAGAATGAATGTGGCTATTCAATTTGTCATATTTGATTGGAATTCTAAAATCTTTTTTTAAAAAAGAGGATAATCAGCGTGGTATAAATCGTGGACTTTGGAGTCAGATTCCCCTCCTTGTTCAAGTTGTGGCACAGAGATAAAATGATCATATTTGTACAGTATGCTGGAGTAAGTGACAGGCCTAGAGATGGGTTTTCCCCTAGCCCTCCACCTTGAGGTGTCAGTAAATTGTATCACAGAACATCTTAATTCAAAAAATCTGGGTTTTGAAGTTCTGAGCATCCATGAAGTTTGAATCCTGACGTTTTCACTTGCTAGCTGCGTGGCCTCGGGCAAGTCATCTATCTCTATACAAGCTCCATCTGTAAACGAGGGAGTATGGTTCCTACTTGTTAGTACTCTTAGGAAAATCACAGGAACTAACATTTGTTTAAAGTGCCCAGCACAATATGAGCACGAACTAGGTGCCAATAACGAAATCTCCAGTCCTAGAGAGGACCAAGAGGTTAAATGGCTTTGTAACTTTCTCTAGATTTAAGTGGTATGTGTGTCTTTGGCCATCAGACATTATTTGAGACTTTTGGAAGGAATAAAGTAGACTGCAGGTTTCAGGGAAAAGTCTAGTGCCGTGCCTCTCAGTGAAAAGGGAGGTGGTTCTTTAAAGAAATCTCTGTTTTGCAATAGACTTACGCCTGTTCTGTTTAGCCGTTATCTCCACATTAGTCTTTTCCTACAGAATCATTTGTTTATAGCTTCTCAAGTTACGATCTTTCCCAAGGTCAGGGGCATCCCACTATTTCTCACCTCAGATTTGGAAATACATACCTTTACATTTAAAACCGCAAATACTGTCACACCAAGACAGAATGTGTTTGGTGTAATATTAAGGCAAAAGATTGCATCTGAATCTCACTAAAGCAGGAATAATGGCGGAGCTTGAAGAATGTTAAACCCTAGAGAGTAATTTATACCACTTTTCTTTTTACATTTTCCTAGTTTCTTCTTTTCTTTAGATTCATCTTTACTTAGCTCTTCCTTTTTATTTATTTATTTTTTTGGTTTTGTTTGCCTTGGTTTTGTTTTCTCATTAGGAAAAAAAAAAGCCACAGAAACTCCAAGCAAGCAAATTAGAAGGGAGGAAATGCAACAAGTCCTATCAGTTCTCTGCCTCTAGATACCACTCTGAGTCCGGTCAGCAGGTGAATCCGCATCCCAGTTACCTTCCCTGTGCTTTCCAATTTGGCTGACCCAACCTCCTTCCACTCCTCCTACCCTCTCAGTGGTCAGGAAATCCCGGAGCGGTCCTTATCCTGGAGCCGATTGTGTTTTCAGTAACCAGGATCTGAGCTGATTTTTTAAAATAAATAAATAGCAATCAAGGGCCTTGCTGCAAGGCACCGGGTTGCCGGTTTCCTGCAGGCCAGAGGGATGCTATCGACACCAACGATCGTCCAAAGATTAAACCAGCCGCGTACAATTTGCTAGATTGAAAATTGGCAGTTGGGGCCTTGGCCTCCTCCTAGGAGTACTTGCGCGTTGAAATCGGGAGGACGCTCTGCAGTTGGAGCGCGCTCTCTCCGGGAAGGCAGCGGGGTTGAAAGTGCGCGTAGGGGGTTGGATTTCGTGCAGCAGCGCAACTGGCCTTCTGCAAGGGCGCTGTGACACCCCTCCCGGGACCCCACTTCGGCCTGTTGCTTCTTCGGCTGCTCCAGGTCTGTTTTTCCCGGTGACTCTAGTGTGGCCTCCAAACTTCTGGGCTCCTGGCTCACTTCGGAACTTGCCCCCGCCTCCCACTCGCTTTGCTGCGGCCCCGGAAAGTTGCAGAAGCCACAGTTGTCGCCTAACGAGCACCCTCGTGGACCGCGGGTGGCCGGCGGCGATGAAACCGTCTTGGCTGCAATGCCGGAAAGTCACCGGCGCCGGGGGTCTCGGAGGGCCTTTGCCCGGGTCTTCTGCGGCCCGTGGAGCTGGTGCGGCCCGCAGGGCTTTCGTGGCCCCGGGTCCGCGGGGCGGTCTCGGGGCCAGGGGCTGCAGGGCTCTGTCCTCGGGCAGTGGCAGCGAGTACAAGACCCACTTCGCCGCCTCGGTGACGGACCCCGAGAGGTTCTGGGGCAAAGCTGCCGAGCAGATCAGCTGGTACAAGCCCTGGACCAAAACGCTGGAGAACACACACTCGCCCTCCACCAGTTGGTGAGTGACTTCTGTGCCAACCCCAACCCCCATCCCGGGTAACTTTTTGGGCTCCAGCACCTCCCTGGGACCTGGAATCTGGAATTCTATCACGAAAGAAAATTGAAATTGTAGATGTGTTCAGACCCTTCGTGTTTCATTTCAATTTCATAGTCGGCTCTCTTGCCTTCTCTTGAGAGACCCTGTTACCGTTGTGAACCCAGTGTCCCATAAACGGGAGATTTGCCTGACTGGCAAGGCTCTGCTTGGCACTGGGAATGTTAAGAAGACTAAAACAAGGTCCTGCCTCCAGGGACCGCACAGTCTAGTCCGGGAGACACCAGTGTCTTAAGCAAGTGGTGCAATAAACTAAAATTATAACTAAGTATCCTCACATGGTGGGGAGGGAGGGTTGAGGAAAGACTTCAATAACATCACACCCCAGAAGGGGTTGGGAGGATGGGTATGTCTTCTCAAAGTCGACAAGGCCCTAATTATCAAAGTCCGAGAGGGGAGCAACAGCTTGAAATGTGACTGAGACAGTGACTGGAAATGATTGTGTTGGTTGGAGATGTGGGAGAGGAAGTCGTGAGTCAGGGGCTAGCTTGGGAAGAGATTTATGTACTGTGCCAAGTAGCTTGGACGAGATCTATAGGCCTGTTGGGTATATGAAGCTGCAGTACCGGGTACCCAGAAAGAATACAGATAGATTATAGTCCAGGTGATGTTAGAAGTCCATGGTAGAAGTAAAGTCTTCTACCTGGAGCTGGAATTATAACAAGGTATAAGCATTATTTTTGTGTTACAATAAACAGAGACACATTGTAGAATAAATATTAAGCTTGCTAGGATAGTGAGGCTGAAGCACAGTCAGTGGTAATCTCAGAATGTGGCTCCTTATGTGCCTGTGCACTAAGGATGTGATTGCTCTCATCTGCCAGCCATTAGAGAGAATGTTTCCTGTAAAAATTTGAAAAATACTTCTCAGAAATGAGGTGAGGGGAATGACATGGTCAGGTTTGCAGTGGACGAATGGCTCTCTGGTTAGAGCAAGGAACCTGGAATAAAATTGGCAAGAGCCTGTTCTGTGTCTCCACCATGTCCAGTTCTCTCATTAGTGTGTGGGGTGACATGATGTTGCCTTTAGAATCTGAGCACCTTGCCCCTTCATTTCAATTATTTTTTTTTGATAGTATTTGATTGATCCTCTTTTATGTGCCAGACAGTGAACAAGACATTGGGTGTACAACAATGAGTAAAACCTACTTCCTGCTTTTTGGAAGTCATAAAGAAAAAAACATGGACTCTGGGGCCAGACTACCTGGGTTTGAGGTCTGCTTCTCGCAGTTACTGACTATGTGTTCACAAGCAAGTGACTTAATCTCTCTGTGCTTCGCTTTCTGAAATGCAAATATGGAAATGACTGAGTAAAGGATGAAGACTATGTCTTTATACACTAGACCCTATAAATGTTAGAGAAGGAATAGCTCTCTTTGCATTCTCATACCATAATCATTTTAGGAGCAGGAAACCCTCCTAGTGTTTCTCAGATGGAAACATGGAGATTACTGCATCACTGTTTCGCAAAACTCTGTGTACAAATATCTGTCATAAAATACGGTACTATTAATGATTTTATATGGCCATCTCCATCATAAACTAATGTGCAGAGAATTCAGTTAAGCCACAGGGATATTCTTTTATTGCATTTCAGGTTTTGGGGTACATGTGAAGAACATGCAAGATTGTTGCATAGGTACACACATGGCAGCATGATTTGCTGCCTTCCCCCCCTTCACCTATATCTGGCATTTCTCCCCATGCTATCTCTCGCCAACTCTCCACGCCCCGCTGTCCCTCCTCTATTTACCCCCAACAGAACCCAGTGTGTGATGCCCCCCCTCCCTGTGTCCATGTGTTCTCATTGTTCAACACCCACCTATGAGTGAGAACATGTGGTGTTTGATTTTCTGTTCTTGTGTCAGTTTGCTGAGAATGATGGTTTCCAGGTTCATCCATGTCCCTACAAAGGACACTAACTCACCGTTTTTTTAATGGCTGCATAATATTCCATGGTGTATATGTGCCACATTTTCCCTGTCCAGTCTATCATCGATGGGCATTTGGGTTGGTTCCAGGTCTTTGCTATTGCAAACAGTGCTGCAATGAACATTCTTGTGCATGTGTCCTTATAGTAGAACGATTTATAATGCTTTGGATATATACCCAGTAGAATGGCAATCGTTAAAAAAATTGGCCACAGGGATATTCTAAATGAAAAACAGTGAGAGCCGGACCTAAGGCAGGGACAATAAGAATGGAGAAGGAAGGACAGGTTGGAGTGATTCAAGGGGGCAATCAGGGATCGGCAAAGGCCCAGGAGAAAGCCTTGAAGGTGGGTGTAAATATGCCCAGCAAGTAGAGCTTAAGACCTGGAGATTTCCTTGCCAATAACTTGCTCTTTCTCTGTAATATCTAGTTGCTTGTTTACATTTTCTGAAATTGTGTGTATAAGATGTTGCCTTTAGTGAGAATTTTTGTGAAGAGTCACTATATTTTTACAGGTTACTAACATTTGATAACCCTGTATCTGAATTATTTAGCTTTTCAGTCTTGAACTCATGCAGCCAAACCTGTCTTATAGTAGCCCAGAAAATCAAAGTGAATACGCGATAAAGCTTTGACTGTATTTCAGCAGCGTGATTCAATTTTACCAAAAATTTTGGTCGGGTGAGCAGGGTTGGGAGGGAAGTAGAGGTAGGAACCAATCTTAAACTTCTATTAGTAGTTTTGATTCGAATCCATGACTGCATTGGGCACCACAGTGAAGATAGCTGACCAGTTAGCAATTTTCTACAAAGCCGAACTCAAGGACAGAGTGAACTTTCTTTTGTTTCGCTTTATCCCCAGGATCTAAGGCAGAGCTGGCATATAAGTTTTTAAAGTGAGAGTAACAGGATACATAGCTTTGGTGATTTTTGTTGCTATAAAACAAAACACTTCTTTAGGAGGTGATAAGTGGGTTTAGGCACAATTTGGTGTGAAGGAGCTTTACTTATTTTTTTGAAGCTGGGATCTGGAGAATGGAGATATTGATAGCCAAATGCTTAAACAAAACAAGGCAAGATTGCTATAGCTAATTGTTCTCTCCTCTGTGGAGCTGGCATATGTGTAGTCACAGTCTCTGATGCCCTTTGGCTTCCCAGAGGCTAGAGGGATTCTTAGAAGCTTGTCTGTTTGTTGTTCTTAAAAGTAAACTCCCTTCAGAACCCACAGGCTTATCAAAAGCCTCAACACATGAATAGTATTGCATATTAGCTTTCACAATGGCATAAGCTACCCAATGTTTTCTGCATACAGTAATATAGATATGGAATAGAAATCTTTAAGGGTGATATATGGAAGGGAACTTTCATTATAGTGAATGACTCTATTAAATGCATTTCCAGCTCTGTGATTTCTGAGATCTTCAAAAAACAAATCCAAATTATGGGTAGGTGTTTTAGGGATTCACACATAATTGCCTCTCCTCACAGTTTGGCGGTTCCTGCGTATTGTTAACACCTGGCTCTTTGGGTAATAAAGTCTCTATTAGAGAGACTGCAGCAGAGAACTGCAATCATAGTAATTTCTTTAATCCTGGAACAACAAAGCAGGTGTTTCTGGTTATTTTCTCCTGATAGACATCCTGCTGCCTATCCTGAAATTGAAATCCAGCTGCCACTCTGAAGGATTAGTCAATTCACTTTTCTATTATGCATTGGGGTAGACTCTCTGGGCCATCAATTTATCTCTTTCTGTGGAAGTATTACAATCCAATTTTAGTCTACTTTTATTTAAACAACATTCAATGATAGGCTTCTCATATCCATTTGTTTAGAAATCAATATATATCAACAATGACTATAACCCCCCAAAAAGAAAAGACTAAATACATTGTAGATCATTAGAGAATAACTTAAGCTTGAATAACATTTCTGTGGTGGAAACTGTGTCGTTTTCTCAACATGCAGGATCTCAATTCCTTACTAGCTGAGATTAAGGTTGTTTAATCCTGCCAAGTCTTAAAATAGCTTATAAGAATTAAAGGACATTAATCATTCACCCACTGCATGTACAATAGAGAAAATGAAGGAGATAGTGAAGGAACCCACCACATAGCAGCATGGAAGACATGCATTACATTTTTACAAAAGAAACTAAAATTTTAGATTTAGGGGTACATGTTCGGATTTATTACATGGACATATTGTGTGATGTTAATTTTGGGCTTCTGTTGAACTCATCACCCAGACAGTGAACATGGTGCCTGGAAGGTTTTTGACTCTGGCCGCCTCCTTCCTTCCCCCATTTTGGAGTCCCCAGTGTTTATTGTTCCCATTTTTATATCTGTATGTCTCCACTGTTTAGCTCCCCCACTTATAAGTGAGAACATGCACATTTGGTTTTCTACATGATGAACACTATTTAAAGTTGCAGTAGATGCTAGGAAATACACCCTTTATTGGGGGATATAATATTGTCTTCTTTAGAAGGATCATGAGAGAGGTCTAGAGGAAATGATAAACTGACATCAAAATGAGTAGGAACTAAACATGTGAGAAGTGGGAAGAAACATTCCAGGGAAAGAAAATAACATAGGCAAAGGCCATGAGGTAGATATGTTTAGTAAGTTCCAGAAGCTTGAAGAAGGTTTATGTGGTTGGGGCTTAAGAAATGGCAGAAAATAACCTTGAGATGGAAAGAGAGAGCCATATTGTAAATGGTCATTTGGTTAGGATTTTTAAATTTTTTCCTGGCCCATATACCTGTCACATAATGCATGACCAAAATATAAATTTCCTATTCTTCCTTCTGCATTGGGTCAATACAGGCTTGAGTTCAACCTTAGATCTGCTGCTTACCTTGGGAAAGCTTCAATAACATCATCTGGAAAGTTAGAATCATGATGGTATCTATTTCTAAGGATTAAATTGGGTGAGGGGAAGCTTGTAAAGCATCTAGGACTGTCCGTGACACGT